AATGTTGAAAACCTTTTGTACAAAGTATAATTTTAAACAGACACAGATTCCACACTGACAATGACTCGACACTCTGCAGTTAGAAGCCATAAATAGTGAAAAAACAATACATCTTATGTGACAAAATTTTCTTTTATAAAACTTTACATTATGCAATGTTTTAATGTTATTTTACCTTTGTTTTCTTATTTGTCATATTATTATTAAACTAAATAGATGCAGATAAACTTTTATCAGCTCTTGTTGTAAACAGGCTCGTATAGTATAATGTTTAGAAATGCACACACAAAAAAGTGTAAATATATTTGTGACTGTATATGCAAATGAGTTAGTTGGGTGAAGTTGAACTCCTCTAGGACCGCATACTGATAAACATTTTGTGACTCAAATAACCACTTTTTGGATAAGAATTCCCCAAGTGTAAATTTAAGAAACCCAGTTCCACCGTATGGTTATATTGGGGCCCCAAGCGGTTAGGAACTTGGGTTCGGTTCAAGTATTATTTGCAAACAGAGACCTGCTAAGACCAGTAGACCTTTTTTTTTTTTTAAAGTCTGTCGAGAACTGCATGCTTTTTAGTACTAAATTATTATTTTAATACTGAAATATTATTTTAATACTGAAACATTATTTTAATACTGAAATATTATTTTAATACTGAAATATTATTTTAATACTGAAACATTATTTTAATACTGAAATATTATTTTAATACTGAAATATTATTTTAATACTGAAACATTATTTTAATACTGAAACATTATTTTAATACTGAAACATTATTTTAATACCTAAATATTATTTTAATACTGAAATATTATTTTAAAACTGAAATAATATTTTTATACTGAAATATTACTGAAATACTTATTATAATTTATAGATATCAGAACCGCCAAAAGGTAGTTGGACTTTCTGTAAATTATTTCAAGGAAACCTTTGATCTTGTTCCTGTAATCCTAGGGATCCATGAATGACTAAATGGGAAAGACCGATCTCAATCGTTATGCTACTTTCATTATTTTTTTTAATGCCCGTTATCATTTGGCTTTATATCAACTTGCTTTGCTATATATAGTTGCAAATCTTTTTACTGATGGTACACAATGGTATAGTTGGCTCTGTGGCATAGTCGATGCGAACACTTCGTAATGCTGGGGTGCCGGGTTCAATCCCAGCTGCGGCCCATGCTCCTTGCGTTGGTTTGGACAGTGGTATCAGGGGGGCCGAGCGTCCAGAAAGCAATGGAAAACTACTGGATGTAAATTTGCCTAGAGAAACCATACAACAGCCAGGGGCTGCTGTGGTTGGTTCTGCAACGTCCTGTAAAGGATACGCAACTAACTAACACAATGGTATGCAGTAACGGCCCCCTTTTTTTAAGCATATTTTCAACACTATTGTTTTAGACCCTTTATAGTGAGTACAAGCATTTTTTAAAAAAAAAAAAGACTTTTTGACTGGCACTTTTCTCTAGAACAGAATTGCTATATAGTCATTACATTCTAGGTGACTGTTTTAGAGATTTTCACAGGTGAGAGGTCAGTCTGTGATCCAGATAAATGCAATTTATCATGTCTAAAAAACATCAACTTTTTTTCTCCTAAACAGTGCCAGCCTTTAAGTTATAAACTTTTGAGTCTGAAGTGTTTCCATCAATACGTAAAACTGGAAAAAAAAAATAAAATGAGCAGTTAGACCATGGAAATGCACCAACAAAAAGAGTTATTCATTCTGTCTTGTGTAGTAGTGGTTGATTACACCAATGCGAGTTTGCTAGACCCATCGCTGATAGAATGAGAGGCATCATCACGATTCTGGACCTTCATTCACTAATTAATTTCTAAATATTAAACCCCTTCACTGATAAAAGAGCAGACAACAGATCACTGCTCCTCTTTGGTGCTTTTCTAAGATGGGCTGGCCGTCTTTAAACTGTCATATAACATCACTGTATTCATCTGCACATGATGTCACGTGCTTAACCCTTTTGACATTCTTAACAACAATGTTTACCAGTTACAAGACAATGGTATGATTACTCTAATTACAATCACACTTTTAAGTTTACATTTGAAACCCCCTCATATTTTAGGCTGAGTCATCTTGGGAGCTCAGGTCAATATTGAAAATTTACCTTCTGATATTTTCTAACATATGATCGTGGGAACCACAGGCAAGCGTATTAGCTTGTATCACCAAAAACTACCAGCCATATTTGTGGGAATGTGATTTCATAGAAATAAATGTACAAACATAAATAGTGAAATGACATAATACTATGTGGTTTAGTGTAAACAAAGTGCTGCAAAAGAAGTCAATAATGAACAGTTAACCTCTAATATATGCATATGTTTAAAGCTTTCATGTACAACCTGTAATCACAGGCACCTATACCTTGGGGCTCAGGCCTCATGAACCCACATAAATATTTGGCAGCAAATCCCCCCCCCCCCCCCCCACACCAAATAAAAAAACTGCAAGTTGGCTAAGCGGCCCCATTAACTAATGTATATCCATTCCCTTTTCAGGTACCTGTTTATACATTGTATATTATTTCAAATATACTGTTAGATTTATTTGTTCATTGATTATTCATTAAGCACACAAAATAACAATAATAATTATTATGTAACTGCACACTTGAGCTTGGGCCCCGTTTCCTAGAAAGTTATAAGGAGCAGATCAGGTCAGGGCTCTTGCCTCATCCCACCCATACAGCCAATCATAAGCCATCCAAGCATTTCTCTCTTTTCCTTTTCCTTGCTCGTTTTCCATCAATTTTGCCAGTTGTATAACCAAGTTCTCAAATCCATTTCTTTCACAGCATGTCCAGAATACACTGAATGTCTACAATTAATTTCTCTAATCAGTTTACAGTGTTTATGGAGGACTTTTTGTTTGTTTTAAATGTACGAGGGGAAGTCAATAAGTAAGTCGCAAAAAAACAACTAAAGACAATAACAACTTGAAAATTGTTTATTATTACTCATACACTGTCACTTTATTTCCACCAACATTGATGCACTTGTCTCTACTGTTTTATCAGTCCTCCCAAACCAAATGTCTCCCACCAAGGTGGGTTTTCAGTGTCTCCCACCAAGGTGGGTTTTCAGTGTCTCCCACCAAGGTAGGTTTTCAGTGTCTCCCACCAAGGTGGGTTTTCAGTGTCTCCCACCAAGGTGGGTTTTCAGTGTCTCCCACCAAGGTGGGTTTTCAGTGTCTCCCACCAAGGTGGGTTTTCAGTGTCTCCCACCAAGGTGGGTTTTCAGTGAACCAAAAAGGTGGCAGTCACTAGGGGCTAAGTCAGGGCTGTAAGGTGGATGTTCCAGAAGTTCCCACCTTGTCACCTCTAATTGTCTCCTCCACCCACTGCATGGATGCGTCTGTTGCAATCTTAACAGGACGACCAGATCAGACTTCATCAACAGTCGTAGTGTCCTTAAGAAACTTGTTTTATCCAGCTATGAACCACTTTATGGGATAAACATTCGTCAGCATAAATAGAATGCATTTCATTATGAATGTCCTTTGCAGGTAGCCCCCCCACCCCACCCCCCCCCCCTCCCCCCCTCCAAAAAGAGCGCACAGCAGCACATTGTTCTCTGTAAGTACAGTCACCATTTTGTTTGTTTTGCAAATGTGCAAGCAACACCTAGCGCCACCTAATGAACAGAGACATTAGGTTCGATGTTGCTGTCACCTAATGACACCTTCAGAAACCACAGACTACATTTTCCTGCCATCCCATAACCATGTGTGACTTACTTATTGACTTCCTCTTGTACATAGCTTTGCTGTCTAATCTAAATCTCTGTAATCTCTCGGACAGCTGACTGTAAAACCTTGGATTGTGAAACTGCATTCACAACCCCTCAGTTACTGATGCTGACTCAGTAGTGGTAGAGCAGTCAAATGTTACTTGTAATCAGAATATATAGATCTATATTGAATATGTGGATTATGATCCCTATAGATGAACAATGTTTGCTTGTAATCAAAGCATCCAGCTCTGAAATCTGTACGCTTTGATCCCTATAGCAGAAAAATAATAGTTATTTGTAGTCCCAGCATCTCCATAAATCCCAACATACTGGTGACAGGTGTGGCACTCCAAAAGGACATCTCTGTCTCAACGCAAAACAAACAAAAACAAAACAAACACACACCCACCCATGCACGTATGTGCACACACACACACACACAATACAAATATACACACATATATAGATATATGTTTTTATGTATGTGTGTGTGTGTGTATATATATATATGTATGTATATATATATATATATATATATATATATATATATATATATATATATATATATATATATATATATATATATATATATATATATATATATATATATATATATATATATATATATATATATATATATATATATATATATATATATATAAGTTGGGAGTACATCTGCCCATGAGGCAGGGATCGGCAAAAGCCAGTAAAGCGGTTGTACACGCAAAACTCAGGTCCAGGTAAAAGCCAAAAGTTCAAGCGGACGATTAACCGGGACCTTCCACCGGAATTCACAGCCGGTGAACGAAGAAGAAGAAGAAAAAAAATTAGGTAAGTGAATAGAGGACTCATATCAACACTGTAAGACTTGTTGAGCATATAGTGCTGGGCCCATATATTTATAGTTCAATTTACACCCAGTGGGTAATATAATCAGTATCACATTATCCGCCTTTACTTCCTATGACATTCCTGGTACCAATTTTAGGCAATATATAAGTGGTGAATGAAAGCTTACAATTTCACTGCAATAAAACCACACTCATTAAACTTATGTGCACACTCAAGAAAACAAGGAAATGAAATGAGAAAACAGTTCTGAGATAAGTTGTTTGTACTCCAAGCCTGCTTGCCTGTGCTTTCTTCACTCACTGGTTTTTATGTTTAGTTCTTGCGACCTGTGTATTTCTCTATTTATTTAAACACAGGTAGTGTTATGTGAAGTCTCAGGTCCATTCAAGTGAGTGTCCCACTCCAGTTGATGGGGTTGTACCTCAGTATCTCCCTCTCATATTTATCTGTCTTGGCTTTGTTGATACGTGCTCTCTGCCAGGCCTCTTCCATACACTGGGAATAATAATAAATAAATTACTTGTGTGTTGAAGTACTGAATGGTCGTAGACTACTAGGCAGAAAAGATGATGGAGAGATAACGTCCAGACAGATCTGCAAACACTTGGTTTCACCAACTGGTAAGAGAAGGCCAACCAGAAAGATAAATGGAGACGGGTGATATCTGCAGCAGTGAACCTCAAGGGCTCAGAATGCTGAAGAAGAAGAAGAAGAAGAGGAAGTGTATTATAGCACTTAAAGCAAGGCAATAAAGGACCCTTTTAATGCCAGTGGTGCATCAAGCATAACATAAGTAAAGGAACCTTTTTAATGCCAGTGGTGCATCAAGCATAACATAAGTAAAGGAACCTTTTTTATGCCAGTGGTGCATCAAGCATAACATAAGTAAAGGAACCTTTTTTATGCCAGTGGTGCATCAAGCATAACATAAGTAAAGGAACCTTTTTCACACCTTTAGGCGTATATGGCATATAGGGCTAGACTTATATTTTATAGACCAATCAGCACAAGATGGGTGATGTGGTCAGCATCATGCCGGCCGCCTTTACTTCTTACGACTGCACCTGATACCCACTCAAGGCTGGGTCAAATCAGGAATATAATGCTAGATTCATATTTTCATAGATCAATTAGCACTCAAAAGGTGATGTGGTTAATGTCAAGCCAGCCACCTTTATTTCCCAAGGTATTACCTGGTACTCATTTTAGACTGGGTCGACTTTGGAGCAAGGTTGGTTAAAATTTGGCTTCAAATATTATGACATTAGGGAAAGTGGAGAGGAAGAAAGACAGCAGGAAAACAAGAGCAATCCTTAGGGAAATTATTACCCACACCGGATTGCCAGATACTTTAGGATAGTACTTGGTGTAACCATAAAGAGGGCCAAATTATATCTTTTAGGAGGTTCAACAAGGTATTTAGATCTGCTCTGTTGAATTTCCATCCAGGGTGCAACTCATTGATAAAGGTTAGAGTCGAGAGGATCAACTTCATTGCACCAGGTTTTATCCCAAATGACTCGGTCTTTCTCAGCAGAACGGCTAGCCACCTACCGAGAGCATCGCACAGAGCATGAACTCCGTAGCTCCAGCGACGATCCCCAGGGATCTCCATAAAAACTGCACTCGTGAAGTTAAGGGCACAGCTGTCTCATTGAGTTACCAGGGCGTCAAACCTTCAGGTAGTAGCCTAGAGGGGGAAAATCTATCTCTGTCTCTCTCTCTAGTTCTCCCTCCTTCCCTCCTCTCCCTCTTCATGTGGATGTTAGACAATTTGCAATGTGGCATGGAAGAATATTTGTATCTTCACTGTTGACAATCCACAAAACAAAGGGCAGTTTACAAAAAAAATTATGATAACCAGTGGTATGTCATAATCATCTGTTTTATTCTGTTGTGCCATTTTACATCACATAGGGCTCGCAATATAGTCCTCCATTTCATTCTATTCTGTTAAATCTTTTTGATATTGTGGATTAAATCATCCAGCCTTATTAACTTTCTGAGGCAATGGGTACCAGAGTTAACACTCTGGGGTAAATGGAGGAATGTCACTGTAGCTACGGAGCTTCGTGCGGACAGTGACACAGGGGGACAGTTTCTTATCAGCTGTCCGTACTGGTGGCAGAGCACTTATGGTTTATAATTGTGTGCAACGATGCTGGTTCACATCTCCCAACTTTACTTTTTTTTTTTACCTTTACTAAATTCACTAATTCACTATCACAATACTACCAGGTTTCCTATCTAATCAATTGTGTGTGTGCATGTATGTGCATTTTGATTTGAGTGCATTTTTCTTCGTCCTCTGCTGTCTTTACCCATAAAAGGTTGGTGGTACATTGTACTGTGGTTTACAGCTAGTCTGAAATATCTGCACCTGTGGGCCCAACAAATCTGACTTCAGCAAATCTCTAATTAGCAGCATTTTACTATGACAAGCCTTGAGGGGAAGGGGGGGGGTGTGGGGTGGGTGAGTCTATTCCTTGTTCTCCAAAATAAAGCCCACCCATAACCCATATGGATTGGATGATTTTTTTTTTTTACACAACCAATTTTAAGATGTTTAAAAATTATTTGCTAAACATAAGTACGTCTGGAACCCACCACTTTGTTCTCATCTCTAAACCGCTTCAGGTAGCTGAACTTGTTGACAAGCTCCTGAAGGTCTTTCACCTTGCACTGCCTGTCGTACTCTACAGCAAGGTGACTCTCCTGAGTCCTGGCCTTGAACTCACTCTGGTTTCTGTTAGCAAGGTCTGCCATCTGCTGTTTCAGAACTTCCCTGAAGTGCCGTCTGTGAATGAAAGTTATTAAAGCTATGTGTTTAATGCAGTTCATCATTCTCAAAAAGCTGTAGTTGATTGTCATCATCAATCAGCAAGTCCTTTATAGAACATCGCTCTGTTCACGGCACACCTGAAAGTATCCCTTTCCTTAGCCAGCTCTCCAGCCCCCATATGCTTTCAATGCCAATGCATCTTCAATGTCCTGTATCTATCCTGGCGGAGGTCGACCCCTGCCTTGCTCTCCACAAACTGCACCCTCTATAACCATCCTTTCCCAGCCACCATAACATTTGATGTGGCCAAAATACTTCAACTTTCGGGACAGGATGCAGTTTATGAGCCAGCTCTCCTTGATGGCTGCAGGTGGCCAATATCTCCCAGCTTCAAAGGTAGCCTGTGACATCCTTATCTATGCCAGCTCTCCTTGATGGCTGCAAGTGGCCAATATCTCCCAGCTTCAAAGGCAGCCTGTGACATCCTTATCTATGCCAGCTCTCCTTGATGGCTGCAGGTGGCCAATATCTCCCAGCTTCAAAGGCAGCCTGTGACATCCTTATCTATGCCAGCTCTCCTTGATGGCTGCAGGTGGCCAATATCTCCCAGCTTCAAAGGCAGCCTGTGACATCCTTATCTATGCCAGCTCTCCTTGATGGCTGCAAGTGGCCAATATCTCCCAGCTTCAAAGGCAGCCTGTGACATCCTTATCTATGCCAGCTCTCCTTGATGGCTGCAGGTGGCCAATATCTCCCAGCTTCAAAGGCAGCCTGTGACATCCTTATCTATGCCAGCGAACAAGAACCTGTAACTCATAGCTAGTGCTTCTCTGTTATTTACATGACTGAGGCAAGAGGTGAAGTTTCTCATCTCTAGAGCACAGAACCTGGGCAGTCTTGTAAGACCATGAGTTCCATTATAGCCTGACAGAAAACCACTCAATGTCTTGTCAGTTCTCCTGATTTGTGTATTGCCATGCCAAGGGTGTCTCCAGTGCCCACCTTTAATGCTTGTCAGTCTCTGCTCTTCTTCCAGGACCATGAGTTTCAGTTCTGTTGTTTCTAAATCACTTCTTTTTTTGTTTCCACACATTATGGGCTGTAGTCCGGTATTGTAGTTTTCTGTATTTGTCTTGCTCTCCTAAGTGGCTTGAGTGATGATTTTTTTTAAATGATTCAGCTATATCATCTATCCATCTATTCCTTGATCTTACTCTTGTTGTATGCCCAGATATTCTCTAGGTTTCATATACATTTAGTTCTGGTTGAATTCTTACTAGATGACCAAACCACTTCATTCTCTCTCTGCTGCTATAACTATCCTGTTCCAACCTTCTCTGATGCTATTCAGTAAGGAGAATTTGAAACCACTGTAGTGTTTATAATGCTAAAGTTTTTCACCTTCTGAGATCTGCTGTTTATCAGTTATGCCTTCTCAGTGTTCAGATACTGTAGTCTTTGTTGATATTTTTCTTCTCTTTATCCATAGTATTCTTAGGATTTTTTTGCATCATGTAAATTCAGTGGATAATAAGAGCAAGCATAGAAGTAAAACAAATATATCTTCAGCCATCAGTTGTTATTACTATTAAATCTAGCAGATCATCTTCTAATATTTTATCAAAGGATGCGGAGAGTGAGAAATTGAATGTATATTCAGAGCACATACACTTATGACATCAAGAGTATGTTTGCAGAGAAGAGGGAATGACTAGAACTGGACATCAAAGAGCTGACTATCAAGAAGTGGAGTGACAGAGAGAAGTGGAAACTGATTGTGCTTAGGATAAAGAGCCTAAGAGACTCAAAAAAAGTGAAAAAAAAAATAATTTCTTGACTAGGTATAGTGATGAGCCACATTAGCAGAGCGGCTGCATGCTTGCCTAACAACTCAAAGATTTTGGGTTCAAGTTTGCATTTATGTAGATTTTGTTTAAATTTTACCTTGGCTTCCAGGTCAACCCAGCCTAAAATGGGTACCAGGTAAAGTCCTGGAAAGTATAGGAGACCAGCCTGATGTCAACAACATGTCTCATTAAGTGCCAATTGATCATTTAAAGTTTGAGTTTTGCATAATATTCCTGATGCACACTGGCATAAAAATTATCTTTATTTATTTACATCAGAACAAGTTCAACATAACATTTCGGTATTCTCTTATGTTCAATGAAAGTGCCCTAATTCATAAGATGTTTCTCAATATCTGAAATGCAGCTTTTGCTTGATCTTTCCAATTCATAATCCTTGTCATGCATCATCCATCTAATATCATGACTGCTTCGGCATTTTTAAATATAATTTTCTTTGTTAAGCATTTTTTTCTAGCTTGTATAACATTTAGGTGTTCTCTTTATAGTGTTATATCTATATATTTTTAGCAAGTTTGAATTTTATTTTATATATAAAAACTAGGATCTTATTTGGTGCCTTGAAGCTCATACACTGCTAAGCATCCTACTGAGGCCTATAAGGAAGATCAGAACATTAGTACGTAGCTTTAAATGCAATCAGGGCTTTTTTTCTGGTGGTACACAATGGTACACAGTACCAGCACCTTTTTTTGGGCATTTTTTTCCCATGATGCTGTAATAGATCACTTTTTTAGACAGTTTGTTCTAATTATGGCATAAGTATGATGAATGGTTTCTCAATTCTTTCTATAAATTACTCAACCCATTATCAACTCTCTCACTTTCTCTTTCTCTCTCTATTTCTCTCTATATATATATATATATATATATATATATATATATATATATATATATATATATATATATATATACACATAAATACATTTTTCCTTCAAAGTCGGAGTGCATCTGCCTGAGAGGCAAGGAACCACCAGTTTGATACAAATAAATCAAATCTGTAAAACGGATGCACATGCAACACTCAGGTTCTGAAACAGGACTACAGTCCAGAAGTGGACGAATAACCAGAACTTTCTGCCGGAGTTTACAGCTGGTGTATGTGAAAAAGAAGAAAAGGAAGATAAATAAATTTACCTATAAGCCTCTTTATCTGCAGGTTTTCCATAGAAAGGTATAGACCAGGCAGAGTGGTATCGTTCATGTTCTTTCTGCTGCATCATTGTCCGACGCTTCTCGTTATGCCAGTGTTGAGGAATAGTCTCCCAGCTCGAATTGATCCGCTTCTGAGGGTAGGGTGGGGCCAAGGGATTGATCCTTTTTGGAAACTTGGTCTGATTCCATGTTGAAGTCAGCTCAGGAGGTGGGTAGGGCCTGTAAGATGCTGCTGATGAGGCTGTGCATGGGGTACAGCTGGGAGTGATCTTGGGTAAAGTTGCCATTATGACTACGGATTATAGTTGGATAATGTTACAAAGGGTTCAAATAAACCTATAAGCAATACAATCTTTGACACTTCTTTATAACCTCTGTATATTTTATATGTCACCATAAATGGCTTAGGGGTATGAATGCAGTTTCATAATCCAAACCTAATGAGTTTTATTCAGCTGCTGGCAATCTGGAACCAGACAGTTTTGCGTTGATTACTAAAACAGAATTACCATTGACCTTTAGTGAGCAATGGTGGACTAGTGAATGTAAAATTGTCTAGTAAATCCACTGGTCAGCCAACAAATGCTAAAGTTTGTTTGTGATGTCCTCAAAGCCGGCATGTCAAACTGAGTGTTTCTAAGGGCCGTGTGAATCTAATATTTTCGTCATGAGGACCACACACGACAACTAATTGGAATCATTTCATAAAAATTGTTGCAGAATATTTCCTTTGTGCAGGCCACAGGTGTGTTTCCAAAGGGCCACATGCGAGCTTCTAAGGGGCCACAGGTGTGCTTCCAAAGGGCCACAGGTGTGCTTCCAAAGAGCCACAGATGTGCTTCCAAAGAGCCACAGGTGTGCTTCCAAAGAGCCACAGGTGTGCTTCCAAAGAGCCACAGGTGTGCTTCCAAAGAGCCACAGGTGTGCTTCCAAAGAGCCACAGGTGTGCTTCCAAAGGGCCAAAGGTGTGCTTCCAAAAGGCCACATGTGACCCATGGGCTGCCAGTCTGACAGGTCTGCTGCAAGGGATTTATGTGTGTGTGTATGTATGTATGTGTTTATGATATACGTTGGCATATTTGAAGGAGAATAACATCGACTGATTAGCATATTGTGACACAGAAGATAATTTCTACTAGATTTTTTTACAACTAGACTACACTTATTATTTTATCTTTATAAAAGAGTGTTTTACAGATAGCTATGCAGCTCTCAGGTTGAAGCAATGTGTTCAGTTTCAATGTGCATTTGACTGCAGTATAAGTTTTCTCTTACTGGTTCAAAACAGTTCCAACTTCATGTTAAAGGGGTCAACCCACAATTGCTCTGTTCCTGCATCAGCAAAAACCACACAAAACCCCAATCATTTTCTCTTACATTAAATTTGAAACAGATTGCAGTTATACAAAGCCAACACTATACACCTGAGTCAAATACATGAGACAGCCATCAGAAGTGCACACCCAAACAGTCCATCGCCAGAATTTCAGTTATTTTTCGGCTGATATCCTGAAAGCTTTACAAGAAGTGACACATTTGCTAGAAACAAGTGATGACTGTGAATCTGTAACCATGATCGGTTTGAAGAACAGCAAGTTAAAAGGGGTGTGGCCAGTCAAGAGCTTTAAAAGAAAGCCAAAGAAGAAGAATAAACCAACACATAACTGGTGTCATCAGCCACTACATGTTGTTGAATTTACTGAGGATGGGATCCAAGCACATATGGACTAAATGGTTTGATGTACAATGTGGATGAACTTTTGACAAACTAACTAACTATATGCCCTATTTACACATTGCATTTACTAAAAATGTACCCATACTAAAAGAAATGACATTAATTAAACAAAAAACAAAAAAAACAAACAAAAAACACTAATATTTTGTTCTTTACTTAACTGTTGAAAGCATAATGAATCATCTAGTCTGTACCTCAAGTGTGTTCATGATTCTCTAATAAGATCTTGACAACCTGGCATTACAGAATGTCACTTCTTGTAAAAGAAACTTTTTTTTTAAATAAGTCATGACCTCAACAGCTATTGAACCTATTCAAAGAAGTTTGATAGACCCTGTCTGACCCTTAGATAAGAAAATCACAATGTAAATATTTCCATGTCACATTTTCACACAAAAGACTTTTCATGCTGAAAGGTTTCGATAAAAGCTGGATAGAAGCATAATATTCAGGCTTGAACGATCACCATAGATCTATAACCTGTTTGTTGTAAGATGACCTCAAGTCTGTTTATTCACTAATAATTGTATGTTTTACCTTTTCCTCATTTTCTTTTACGTCGTCTTCTCTTTTTCTTCTTTCACTTTTTCTTCTGCTAGTGTTTCTTCTGTTGTCCCCCTCCTTCATTTCCACCATATCCTCCTCCTCTTCTTCATTTTCAGTGAAGGAGAGGTTATTAACTACCACTTTTCAAGCCATTTCATTACAAGGTTATATCCCTGTGTGGGTTCCGGGTCCCTATTATAAGGAAAACAAGAACAGACCCACTGCCTACCCGTGTGGGTTCTGGGGCCCTATTATAGGGAAAACAAGAACAGACCCACTGCCTACCCGTGTGGGTTCTGGGGCCCTATTATAGGGAAAACAAGAACAGACCCACTGCCTACCCGTGTGGGTTCCGGGGCCCTATTATAGGGAAAACAAGAACGGACCCACTGCCTACCCGTGTGGGTTCCGGGGCCCTATTATAGGGAAAACAAGAATAGACCCACTGCCAACCTAAAAGCATGTCATGAGAGTCGACTAATTGGGAGCTTCCTTCGAAGTTGGAGTGCTTTTGCCTGAAAGGCAGGGAACAAGCAGTCTGCATACAAATGAGTCAAATCTGTAAATTGGATACACACGCAGCACTCTGGTTCTGGAACAGGACTACAGTCCAGAAGTGGACGAACAACCAGAACTTTCCGCCGGAGTTTACAGCTGGTGAACGCGAAGAAGAAGCAGAAGATTACAAGTTTAGTTTTTGAAGCTGAAACCTTTTACTGTCTAGAAAAGTCAGCTCAAAGCCCAGCTCTACCCTTAGTTACCTCTTAGACATCATGGTAGAAGGAGACAATGATTTGTCCCCACTTCCTCTCAAGGCCCATGGGAATTTGTTCTTTTATATTTCTAAATACGTTATGGTAAAAGGAGCATTCTGGTGATGATGATAATAAAATAAAAATCAGCCACAGTAGCACAGTGGCAAGACACTTGCCTACCAGCCCGAAGTCTTCGGTTCGAATCCACATCACATAAAAATGACCTTGGCTACAAGCTTAACCCAGACTAACCCAGCCTAAAATGGGTATTCGGTAAAGTCCTGAAAAGCCAGCATGATTTTGACCACATCACCCATCGAGTGCCATTGGGTCTAGAAGAATGTGTTTCTAGCATCTCATACTCGATATGCTGGTGGCAAGAAAGAGGTCCTTGGATTTTTTATTTTTTTTTTTATTTATAGCTATTACTGTTTAGTTGCATGCTTAATGACATTTTTTATTTGTCAATTTTAACTGTTTAGTTCCATGGTTTATCTCATGTTTTTAAATATTTTTTTTTTAAATTGTAAGTGGGATGAAAAGGGGGAGGGGGCGGGGTGGTTCAAGTGACCTAAGCCCCTAGGTTTCGGCGCCTATGGACACCCAGATAGTTGCATTAAACTTTCTAGTTCTAACACACGAAACCAAATCTTGAGATGACTGCGCCCGCGTAGTGGCCCTGAATCCTCAGGCTTAAGACCCTCAAAGTCCTACACCTCCTTAAAGAGGTAAATACAGGCTGTAAAGACAGTTTACTATAGCTCTCTACACTCATAAAGCAATATATTCACACAGCAGTAATTACTAATATGCCCGGAAATTTTTTTTTTTTAGTTTGTAAACTTGTAGATACATTTAAAATGTATGCCATAAAAGTTACTTACCACAGTAGTCTGTTCCTTGATATCGACAATTTTCCCAAACTAAAAATGTAACCTCGCCATTAAAGAAACTTTATTTGGCCGTAAACGACATGGAGACTTGAGATGTTTGCGCTGATCTGACAGCTGTGGCGGATCACGTGACACAAACGTCGCTAGGGCTACCATTACAGTGTGCTTATTGTTCCTCTGCTGGCAGGGGAGGGGGATAAAACTTGTGGCGATTACTGTTGAATATGGTGGAGTGTGAGAAGTAATGGGGTCCAGCTGACAGTTACAATATACAAGTGGCAGACAATGTCAGAAGACAGCAGATTATGTTTAGTACCTATAACTCACAAGAAGTCAGTGGCATTGCATGGGAGGGTGGCATCCGGTACGGAATTTCCCCTTCCCCCCCCCCCCTATTATTTTCCTCACACACATACACAAACGCGCGCACACACATTTTTTAAATGTTTTAAAAACACCCACTCCAAAGTGATGATACGACCCTTCTTACGCCTCAGACAAGAGTTGAACAGGATATTTTAAAATAAAATTACAGCCATATCCGGAATGTGAAAGCTACTTCTTCTTCTTCTTTGCTTTCATCGGCTGTAAACTCCGGCGACAAGTTCTGGCTGTTCGTCCATTTTTGGTCTTTAGTCTTGTTCCACGACTTGAGTTTTGCGTGCACGTGAGTTTTACAAAGCTTATTGATATGCAGACTGCAGGTTTCACGCCTCTCGAGCAGCTGCACTTCAACTTCGAAGGAAACACTCATCATTAGTGGACTTTTACGACATGCCTGTTAGGGGGCAGTGGCTCCGTTCTTTTGATTCCCCTACAGTGGAACCCCGGAAGCAAGATAGGGACCAGAGAGCAGTGATAAGAGCGGCATTCTGAAAAGCTCCTACTATACAGAGGCGCCGACACACACAAACATACAAAACATTACTTAAGCATTGTGTCGCTAAACATTTTCGGTTCTTTATTATCTTACCACAGATCACGTCACAGAACAGTCCAACACTTTAGAGGATGGAAAGACTGGGTTTCCCGGCTTTCTGGTGCTTTTAACGACCCCAAAACATCTAGAACTGGCCCTAACCCCAACCTATCTACGTCCCACGAGAGAGTGCAGCCTAGGTCCCCCAACTCCGTGCAACCTATCTACCACCCCTGACATACTAGACTGTGCCGTGACTAGTGGATTTTCCCTGCTTGGGGTAGGATATTAATAAAGCACCAATTGTCATGTGGTGAGGGAGGCGCTTGGTGAGTCTAAGCTTTGTTTGCTTCATAAAAATAATAATAATGTGCTTATCAACCATATCAAGCACCACGTCTGACTGGAAAGAACAGTAGCACAGGACATAGTCCCA